GCCAGCCCGCTCAGAGATGTGTATAAGAGACAGATCTTCAGGTTGCCCCTCGACCTTAAAATTAGTAAATTAATGCAAATCTTTTGCAAATTACATTTTTTTTAAAGCAATTATGTATTTTCTTTACACCAATCGATTTATCTCATTATTCTGTGCCTAAAAATTAAGAAATCAATAGTTTACGAGATATTGCATATTATATATCGAAATATGGCATGATAAAGTATAAAATATCTTGTATTATATAAAGTATTGTATTGTATTGTATAAAGTATAAAATAGCTTGTATTGTAAAATATTAATTTTTACTTAACCTACCTGATAATTTTACCTTAATACTTTTATATGCAGAATAATTAGGGGAATTATGTTATGTAAAAAAATATATATTTTCGTTTAAAAAAGTCAATGTGATCTTGATATGATCTTAACGATGCCATCCAAAGTAAAATCAATGATACCTTTTTATGTCCCTCTCCCAACCATACAATTTTTGTTTAAAACATTTTTCCATACCTATTCTATTTTTCGAGAAATTTTAATGTATTATTTAAAATGAGACACCCTGTATAAGAATATATTTCGGATCCATTATTTTGAAATGTACACTTTTGACTTCGGATTCGTGTTCAGCGACCAAAAAACAACAGATAATACTAAAGTGTATTGAAATTCAGATATTTTTTTGAATTTTGACACATCCTCCTTTCTAAAAAAAAGGCATGACAAAACATTATTGAACATAATTATACATAATCATCAGAATTTCAAAGTGACATCCTCGATAACATCGATACTCGCATATATCTCGAAGCGTATTGTCGCTTTTCCGCTAATTGATTCTCTTGCTGCGTTAATTTCGTAAACAGCCGTCATTGCATATTTTGAGTTGTTATGTACAGAGATTGAGTTTAATATGTACAGAGGTTGATAGTATAATAATTACCTTAGAACATATATTACTGGAAGGAGAATAGAGTGCTGAACGTGAAGCCAACATATGTGCGAGAGAGAAAGGTATAGATTCCCAATTGTCTGTAATGCGCATGTGCTATTCAGCTCCCACTCAGCCCGTTTTTTGCCTAATTTCTTATTTTTCGAAAATTTAAAAAAAAAATGAAAAACGGGACTAAGTGGGGGCTGAATGGCACATGCGCATTACAGATAATTGGGAATCTATACCTTTCTCTCTCGCACATATGTTGGCTTCAGCTTGATGCATGGACGGTATAAGCAATTCTCCGTAATATATGTTCTAAGATAATTACAAATAGTAAAAAGTAAAAAATGCAAAATAGCATACGCCTGTAATGCTAGTCTATCCAAGAAATGCATAAACTTACTAATTACAAAATCGAAAGGCAACCTGAAGATATTAATCAATTTCAATAAAATTTTACCCAGATTCTATATATTGAGATCCGTAGCTAACTTTTGGGGGAGTCTTACTAATCGATTTTCAATAATTTATTTTTTTTGGTTTACCCAAATATACATTTATATGTATATATCAACATTAAAGTCTAAAAATCTAACTTTTATTTTGAAAACACAATAAAGTAATCTACAAAAAGAAAAACGAGTAAATCTTTTTATTAACAAACGCAATTTCGATCTTCTGACCTCGACTTTGATATAAATTGTAAATGACCTTAAGTAACAATTAACAGGTTTTAACTGTCGCTAAGTTATCGCTGTTATTTCTTAAGAAATTATAAACAAATAAAATAAATTATACAAACGTACATTTAATGTTAAATTAAATTTTACTTAGCATGAATAGTACTTTTGAACAAAGCCACATTTGTAAAATTAGCTAACAACCAGGGGCTTGTGATATTTGAGCGCCTCAATTCTAGCTTCGCTCCTCTAATAAATATAAACAGTAAATAGTTAACATTTTCAATATTTATTAATTTTATTGAAACACAATAAATTAAGAACAAAGAAATAATTAAAAATGAAACATTTATTATGTAAGATACATATGGTATATTGCTTCGTACTTAACATGCACACACATCATAAAATAATATATGAATATCTGTGATATATTAGTCTTAATCGTTATCATAAATATTAATTAATTTCAATTCTTATTTAAACGTGATATGGAAGATTCTCTGTCTTCTAATGTAAAAATAAGTACATAGATCTTCTATAAGAAGACAATAAAAAATAAATTAAACTTAAATAATAAAATAATAAAAATCAATTCGATATGATAATGCTATAAGTATAATGCTAAACACTGTAAAGAACTTATAGGGAAAAATATTAGAGAGAGAGGATCGTTGTGAGATAGATGTGGGCTGGTGAGACACACTATATGCTCTATATGATATTTGGCTTACGTTGAATTTTAGGGATAACTGTTAAAATTGCTTACGTAAGTTACAGTCGTTTAGACATATGTAGAATGATTATTAATTATTAGTGTTCACTGCATTCTTATAAAAGCTGAATTTTAGTTTTGCAGGTAACAGAGATTTTTACAGGTGTAAATATATAATAATCTTTGCATAATTTTGAGAAATATGTTAGGTTATTAATTAAGTTTTTTAACTCTAATCTAGCTTGAAAGCCTTAAATCTTGAATGGCTTCCAAATAATAAAATTTAATGTATAACGTAACGTGCGTGTATAAATTTAACATGTAAAGTTACATTATATATATGGGAGAGGGTCACAGGTCACTTGTATTGTGAACGTCGCGAGCGTTGCAAGTTCTCAGAAATGACATTATTCCTTGCGCGCAATAAGGCTATGTTGATGTATAACAAAGAAATCATTTTAAAAAATCATTTGACGTCGCGAGGGAGGGGGGATTAAGCATCAAGTAGAAATTTAAATAGATGCTTTGAACATCGATTTATTAGATTGTCTTCAGTAATTTAATTGTGATATTACATACTACTCGGTTCTAAGCTGCGGATAATCACGCGATTTGTGGCCACGTGGTGTTATATGAATCAAAAATTGTAAAATTCACATTAAAAATTATATGGAAGCTCCAAGATCCGCTTTGTACCGTGTAGGCGTTTTAAGTTTTCAATTGTTAGTTAACATTCCACGGTCTCTAGATACTTATCATTAAAAAAAAATTATTTTTAAAAATAATTCGAAATCGAATGGTTTCAACGAATAAATCATATAATGTGTCATAAGTCATTAAATGCTTACGCGATCCGATGCAGATATCAATATGTAAAAAAGAGAAATAATAAATCTTTTATATAAATTATAAATTATATTGATTACTCGAACAACAGACGTTTCCATCCTTGGTTTGAATTTTTTTTTAGTGTGTACATAATAGATTTGAAACAATTATATTATTTTTTAAGAAATTATTTTTTTGCAAGTAAAATATATTTTATAAAATGTTTAGAAAACATATTTGTTTTATATATTAGTATGTAAGATTTCCGAAAATCATTAATTGTGATTTTTTATAAATAAATGTGCCTTTTGTGACATTAGTTGATAATATGCCTTGATCCTTCCTATCTGATAAACGCATTTTTTTTTCCCTCTTCAATAAATTGTAAATTATGTTCATTCTAATATATCCAATAAACTTCTACCTGTAGGATGATTGAATGGAACTCTATGGCTAAACTTGTATCATAAAAATTATGTCATGTTAATATTTACTAAGTTATTTAAAAAAATAATAATATTCCATCTCTTTCTCTTTTCTATTTTAGAGGAAAGAATTCGAACCTGAAATCTCTCGAACCGACACATATAACATTATTGGGCAGCAATATTTAAATCAAACTTTGACGGTTCTCATTATCATTTGTTGTATACGTATAACCTTATTTAAAAGTATTATTATTTACATGTTCGTTTTATATAAATTATTGCAATAAATATTCAGCTTCAATAGTCAAATAGATAAAACACGTGTCCCGGTCATTATCATTGATGACATTCAATTGCGCTTGATAAATTATTTATAATAAGTGTTAATCGACATCTGATCACTGAGGAAGCTTTTGTATAGTAAAATATACAAGTCATTTTTTTTAATATCCCCACTTAAATATTTTCTTTTTTACGTCTTTCATAAAAAAATGTTTCTTAAAATATAAGTTGTATATAATAAAAAAATAAATAAATAATATAATTAATTAAAAAAAAATTTAAATCACATAAAAGTCATTGCTATTTTTTTAGTGGAGTTGTACAATTTTTTATATAATATTATTTTTCTTATTACTTTACGTATTAAAAATATTAAAATATAATTATAAAAAAAATTTATAATTTACGAGATATTTCATACTTTATTGGCATGTTTTGGTGGTGGTATAAAATATTTTTCTTCTTTTATTTTTTGATGTTTCAAGTGCTTGTTTTGTTTGACATATTCTTGTTTAACCTTATTTTTAAAACTAATCATCGGTTTAAGTAAGGTTTACATAGTAATTTGCATAATTTTTAATGTGTAATAATTACCTCTTTTTTTATAACTCAGTTTATTTAATTATTATAAATATTTTCCGATTTTTCTGTAAAATTTTTTATGAGTAATCCTAGATAATAACACATATAATAAAGTAGAGCGTTTGCAAAACGACGTACATATGGAATCTGAAAAAGGAATTGATGAGAAAACATCACATTCTATCGATTTTCTTAACTCAATTCTTTCCAATCCTGGAAATATTCTTGATGTAAAGTACGAAATAATGCAACAATAGTACTAAATATATAACAATAGTTTGCATAAAAAATTACAATTATTATCAACTTAAATAAGTCTTATTTTATTTAAATAACTCTTTTATATTTATTAATTATTAATTCGACACAATATATTTATTCTTTCTTTTTATTGAGAATTTTTTTATTTGTAGAGATCCAATTCGGAGAGATGTTGAAATTCAAAAGGAAATAACTAATAAAGAAAACAAAGTTGGAAATAAGGAACGAAGCAAATCAATACTTTCTGGAAATAATGTCTCGCGTACCATTTTGGACTCTGAAATTGCGTATGATGAATATGAAGAAGATAAAGATCTTGTACAATGGCAATTACCAAAGCCGAAAAAACCGTTATCAACTCTCTCAGCACTAGTATGTATTCGTATTCGATTATTTATTTAGAGGAGAAAATTAGATTTAATGTATTATTGGATTTTATTTAAAAAGAAAAGAAAACGATTATAAAATAATTTGTCAATTTTATTTTTTTAAGAATAACGTATTATTTTATTTTAAGATGGTACTTACATATATTGGCATCTTTTTATATGTTTTAATGTATTAAGAAAGAGTAAAATTGGCATAAATTATTATTTTAAATAGATTTTTCTAATTTATTATTTTTATAGTGTAATATTGTTTTATTTATTTTTGTATGTTTTTTTATATCTAAATAATTGCAAACAATTGTACATTAACCAATAACTTATATAATATTTTTTACAAATAATGATAATATATACATAATTGTATATTTAGAATACATTAATTTTTTTTAAAATTCTAGTGTAGAATGTATTAAAAAAAGTGCGTGTATATTAAATGATTGTAGCAAAATTTCTTATAAAAAGTATTTAAATTAATTTAAATGTCTTCTTTATACTAGAAATAAGAATTATATTTGTTTTAGCTACGTGAATGGAGTGCGAAACAGGTAATTCTGCTCACGCAGCTTACATAGTTTTTTAAAATGTTACCTAAAAACACTACATTTTCTTTATTTTTGTATTTCTGTTTTGTATTATTAAATAATGTATTAATTTAGGATTTTTAATATATATTTTTTAGTGTTTATTTTATTATTCACATATTATATATATATATATATATATATATATGCATTTTATCGTTATACAATGAAACAGACATTAAAAATGCGTAGGCCGAATAATATTAATATTTTAATACAGTAATAATTAATAACGTATTACAAATATTATTTGTTATTTCAGTTTTTTTTAAATATCACTTTAGCGAATGCTAGAAGCATTTTATTTTTCAATTATCTTTTAGTTATATCCGAGAAATGTAAAATTACAATTACTGTTGCTATTTTTATCAATATTTTTCAAGTTTTACTAATAGTAGAATGTTATAAACGCGATATGAAATATTGCAGTTAAGATAATAGACGTTTTATTTTGCAGGTATTAGTTGTTGCAGACTTTTCGCATAAAAACTTTATTAAAGTGAAGGATAATTATATCGTTCGATCGACTTAGCCTAAACCCTCGGGAATTGAAACAATGACTATAAAAGCACGCAAGGAGTTAGAGAAAGAGCAAGAGGAATCTGCAGCCGCTGAAGTTGAAAGAATTAGGTAAGACCATTTACAATCAATTACAGAAAAATACAGATTAGATCAAGTTTGATTATTTAAACTACAATAAAATATTAACACAGAAGTCAATAATTAATAATAAATGTCCATTTATTAAATTTACATTTACGCAATAACATAAATAATTGGTGCATATGTAGTAACTGCATCAGAGTAATTAAAAAAAAACAAAAACAATTTTTGAGATTATATTTTCATTAATTATTCTTTTATATTGAATTACAATTAATATGTGTATCGATTAGTTTATTTTAATAAATTTTTACAATTATCTGAGATTTAATTAAATTTATAAATTGATGATAATTAATAACGTATGTTGATGCATAAAAATATGAGTTACTTATAATATACTTCAAGCTTTCTCATTAGCATATTAATGAAATGATTTAATAAAGAATACAGATGATCAAAGATATGCAGGAAGAGATTCGATTAGAAAAGTACAATACGGAGAGACAAATATTGCTCGACGACCAAGAGGCAGCGATGCAAAACGTTCAATTGGAAGAGACATTGTTCGTGCTTCACGATTACAAAAGTGCATTTATAAAATATTTAGCTGCTACCGAAGAAGAGGAAAATGTAAATATCATTTTTTTCTTGCTTTGCATATTTATAATAAATAATCATGTAAAGTGTATACATATATATATATATATATATATATATATATGTATACATATTCTTATTTATTAATATTTTTCTATTACCTATTAAATTATTTTTTTAATAATTGTAAATTTTTTTTTAATATTAAATTAAACTTAAATTATAAGTTCATTAAACAGGCTTTTGTACATAATTCGTATAAAATCATAATCTTTCTAATTATAATAAAATTTTATTCCTTTCAGTGGATTAGATATATGACTTGCGATGGATTACCAGATCCTGGTAGTTTATCCGAAATGAATACCTTTATGTTTTTGTGGTCAATGGAAGACGAGAAAGTTAATATGAATAAATTTATTGCGAAATTTAATATTATCATCTATGTACGTAAATTTGAAATAATTGAATCAATTAATAATTCTTATGTAATTAAAAGAAAACACTTTTTATTTATAAAAGTATAGTAAATTGTTAGTTATTTTTATACATTTGATATATTACAATTTAACAAAAATATAGTATTTATAACGTTTTCTCTTCACCCATCATAAAATTAAATATTTTCTTTTACAGCTCTTAACGAAACTTAACGAAATAATAAGGTACTCTTTGACCAGCTCACCAGATTACATAACCGAATGCAAGATGGTAATTATATAATAAATTCGATAATATTCAAAAACAAATTTAATAATATTACAGTAATATTTATAATATACAATAACATTTACTCAACTTGTTATATATGATTCTTATGATAAAAATGTTAAAGTTTACATAAGTTGATAGAGTTGAATGCTTAACAGATTAAACAACGATTTCGTGATAAGCTTCAAAAATGGATAGACGCGGCGTGTTACTCTCTTTTACGACAGATAGAAAGGGATATGATCCGCGAGAGCCTAAAAACAGCGAGATACACTAACATTTCCGATCAAATCAGTTGCTGTATATGGGTCTTGATAAAATTGCCTATTGGACTTAAACAGGTCACCGAAAAAGATCGGCACGTATTAACATTTGACATATAATTGTATTTACAAGAATAAATGTAAGATTTTTTGCAAAATAATACATAGACATGCTTGCGCAATACCAATTTAATTTATCATATTAACTTCTAACGATAACTGGATTTCTTTTCGGCAGAAAACATATTGAAGTACATTTCACGGAAATTGAATTGACTGTTAAAATGCCTATAGATATTGATTGCTATTGTATGGCGATACGAGCATTATGGGTAAAGTATGATCATTACTCCGATTCTTCGATCTCGTACATTATGCCAAAACTACCAGAGGAATATGAAAGCATGTATACCATAGGTACAAATTATAATCGTTTTGTCAATTTTATTTTTTAATCTATTAGTTTGAGCAAGAATTGAAATTAAATTTTACGCTGAGAATTATATAGTGATATCGTATAAAATTATGAAATTTGAAAAATTTCTCAGAAAAAAGATCAAAAGAGATAAAATTGATAAAGGTATAAGTTAACACAAATTATCAATAATTCTTTCTAAAAAAAAGTTAAATTGATAATCGCATATATCAAAGTGTTTAATGCCTCTTGTCCGCGATGCTTATTGATTCTTTTGCTGCGCTTAATTCGTGAGTGGCTGTCTTTGCATATTTTGACATTTGAATGTATTCAGATTAATAGTATAGTAACAAATATAGTAAAAAGTAAAAAATATTAAATAACGTCCGCCTGTAATGTTAATAATTTATAAAATAACAACAATGAACAAGTTTTTTAATTTCTTGAAAAATAGCGTATGTATTTATCTTATATACAAGCTTATATACTTATTATATGAATGTGTCATGAAAGTTTTATGTGTGCAAAAGATAAATCATTGATATCTTCATTTCTGAAGGAGAACGAGTTTTTTAAGTTTTTTTCTTCTCGTATATGCTTCAGATTTTTTTACTTATTGTCAAAACGAGTACAATACAAAATTGAAGATACACGAAGAGCAGATCGAAGGCCGTCGTCTTCGAATGGAGGAAAAAAAAGCTATTCTTGAGAGAATGGAGAACCCGCCAGTTCCGGTGCCTACAAAACCCGAGAGGAAAGGGAATCAGCAAAAGAAAGCAGGAGCGAAGCATCTAGAACTAGAACAGGAGCCGGAACAATTACCGTATCTGCCTACACCAAATGAAATTATTCTACAAAGGGAAGGTACAATTTTCAAATTGCAGTAGATAATTGACATATCCATTAAAAATTGAAATTCTTAATTTTAATATATGTTGGAAAAACAATAATTTAAAAAACATGTTAAAATAAATTACTTTTTACGCCATATTTAGTATGCCATAGCACTGTTAATATAAATTTAACACAAAAAGAAAAGATAGAAAAGATCGGAAGAGCAC